CATACATGGATGACTGCAAAGTATAGTGCAAATCAATTATGTTTGCATTCAGATTAAATGACAGCCTCAAACACTATGGTGATGCATATTTCTTGCTAGAAGCAGTTGAAATGCTAATATTTGACAAGCAGTTGGGGGGGGGGCTCACAATGAAAATCGTGTCAATGTATATTTGCCAAAAGGGATAATTTATGCTCCTGTTTTCGTGAGGGATGCCATACAACAGAATACAAATCATGAAGGTGTGCTTTCTTGCATAATAAAGAATACAAATTTACTGATCAAAAACAAATACTGTAAACGTTTTAATTATTCACTGGTTTTTAATTTCGCTGTTTTTCGCTGGTGATTACAATATGCTAAATTAAATCCATGTGAACATGTAAAATAACAATAGAACTCAACGTTTTACCTGCCAAGTTTATGAACCTAAAACCCATTGAAATGACAAAAGACATCAAAATTAAATGCCAGTGAAAACAAATGGTTTAACAGTAATCTTCAGCCTTATTTACAAGAAAAGCCCAGATTCAATGATTTTAGAATAAATTTATTTATTATTATTAGCCATGCAGGGAAACCTACCTCTGTTGGAAATATCCTGAGATCATTGGCTGCGATATCTATGACTTGTAACCTGTATAATTTACCAAGACCTTCAGGAAGCTCTTTTATCCTGTTTTTCTGAAGGAACAGTTTCTGCAGGTGGATGAGAAAGCCCATTTCCAGAGGCAGTGCAACTAGTAGGTTATTTGCTGCATGTAATTCCTGCAGGTTGCTGAGAGCGCACAACTCTGATGGTAAACTCATTAACATATTTCCGTCCACACTGAGATATTGCAGCTTAGCTAATCTGAGAAGATTGAATAAATACAAATAAATCACGTTTTTGAGTCTTGACCACCAACTGAACACACACACTCAAAATATATCAACCATTATATTACTGAAAAAGTCATCAAGAACAATTTGTCTTACAAATGTTGTAATGCAAGACACTGGTCAGCAGAAATGTATTTATGATATTTTGTTAACCCCATTTATTTCATGAATTTAAGAGAACAGTTTATCACTGTCACTGAAGGTTAGTGTAGTGATAGCACCGATCTAGATAATTATGGTATATTTAGCTATAATAGATTGACTATCTAAATAATGTATACTGTTTGACATATTTCAGATTTTTGATGCCAATATCACCATGTTAGAATTGCAGTTCCAGCAAGCACACAATACTAAGAAATCACTTACTTGTTGATACCAGCAGGAAGGCTCCTCAGTTTATTGTTGTTCAAATTCAATAATATTAAATTCCTAAGACCACCTGTTGAGTAAAATAGAACAACGAGGTTAAAACCATCTCCAATTATTTTCAGGACAAATGTGTAAAATGTATTAGTTGGCAATCCATAAAAAAACATTTCAAAGTTTTCGCTATGTCTAAAATCACTTATCAGTATGTAAATATTATCATAGTTTATATATCGACGTACAAAATAAATACTTCAACCCAAACAAATAAGTTTCAAAGTTACTGTCATTTATTGTATCTAACAAAGCTCCTCATTAGTTCTCATTTGCAGAAAGTTGAACTGCGACAGGAAAGGGGGGTTTGGCAAAAACACAGAATGCTTTTTCAATTTTGCTTGAAGATGAGTTGTTATTTAATTTTAAATTTTTTTTACAAATGTGCATTTCAGGGTGACAGAAACCAAAAACATAAATGTGTAACAGCTAGTGTAAGTGAACATTTCACAGATATTCTATGAAGTCCCTTGGGTGGTCGTTATAAACATGTTTGACTGTACATGTAAAGTATGTATATGCCATAATATAATAGTACTTCTCAAATAACATCAGTCTTACCAACCAACCATAAGAGTACAAATGTATCTAGCTAACCTGAACCCATTTTGATTTTCTTTATTTCTTGCCAAATTAGCATTTTGCAAAGTATTAAATGGCAAATAGCAATTGAGCTGTGACCTTCTCACAACAATGTCAATTGTTCTCAAATCTGTCAAGAGGTTCTTATAAGTTACAGCCACCAACATGTCAGTAATGATTGTGGGGGAAATTCTTACAAATAAATAAGGCAAAAACTACTTAAAAAGATGTGAAAATGAGAAGCTCTCCAGAGTACTCACTGCATCTTTTATACTGAAAATGTTTAATTTGGCAGCAACAATTTTGATGGAGTTAGACATCTTTAATACAAATCTCTCTACACATTCCATTGTATACATGTACCATTCACAACTGGTTTAAGCTAGACCCCAATGGATTCAATAATTCTAGCCTCGCAATGCCTTAGTGCATTGTCACTTTATCAATCATGCCAGTACTTGAATAGTGTTTACGCCACCATAAATAAAACAAACCAGTTGTAAACATGGGCTCTTATAGATATGTAACATTTTTTATTTACACTCTGCATGAAATGTATTTGTACATTGTCAAATAGGGTGCAAATATTAATATATGGCCTTGAGAACAAATTCTTTCCATAATTGCTATTGTATGGGTAATTAGAAATGATGCAGATTTTAGTCCAGTATTTGATAGCATCCCTTAGTACAATGTCCATCTTCAGATGAATCAAACCATTCACATGTATGTACATTTACAGTGTCTACTGGCATTGATCATAAAGTAAGTTAGCTCTATCACATTGTCACACCTGCCAAGCTATACAATAGAATGATTGATAGCTTCATACAAATCCCAAAACTGCACTAATAATAGTCTTCAACACTTGGATGGTGGACGGGGTTTTTTTCTATATCAGAAAACAGCGTGGTGACTTCAAATCTATTCTACTGACATGAAAACACTCAGTCCCATGGATAACCTTGAGTTCAAACAGTTTTTTTTTATTCATGGCACAAAAGTACAACTTCGGAGCTGAGCCTGAGGAAATAAAGACACAAAACAAAATATTTTCTTCAGATTTACTTCTTACTTTTGTGATCACAACACAATTACTAAGAAGACAGCTATGATCGGAACTAATTGTAGTTACTTATGGTATGCAATCAACGGTGACAATGAATTAAGATGATTGACTCATAGATAATTGCCGACACTTTACTTTTATCACTATTGCCATTAATACACATGATAACTGCTTGCAGACTTCCAATTGTCATTGTTTATATCCCGACCCTTGAAAACAATAGCTGAATATATGGTCTTTTGATATGATCTGGACATTTCAGAAGGATGTACGTTGGTGGGCGGATGTTGACAGTAACTAGGTGGTCGTACCAGCCTACCTAAAACCACTTGTGGTGAACACTGGATCAACTGATATATGACTGGAGGATAAATGGCTATTCATTCACTCAGTAAACAAGTAAATATTGCAGACACTTATAATCAAAGTTACTATAAAAATCACAGCAACCATATAAATAACTATTCCAAGACTTTTTGCCACCAAATATTACAAGCAGAAATTATATGATTCATGAATCCGATGTACATTTGTAGTAGTTGATACTTACCAAGAACTTTAGTATTCAATGTCTGTATATTATTATGAAAAATGTGTAATGTTTCTAAACTCTGAAGTGCACCTAGTGGCTCAGGTAAATCATCTAATGCATTGTTTCCAAGATTAAGTACTGTTAGCTAAAATATGAAGAAAAAAAAAGATTATCCCATGAAACATCTTTAAAAAATGAAAACAGAAACTACCGGTACTTTGTTTTGATATTATACACATATAATGTATAGTAATCCTCAACACTATATTATTCTGCTTTGTTTTGATAATATATATGGACAGTAACCTTTTAACCGTGGGTCTGGGTGTATAAAAGGAAAGATGGCCGCCAGTTTTCAGTATGGAAATGACATCCAAGTGTGAAACATCGCTTCGTGGACTGGTGCTCCACAAAATCACTCTTTTTGATGGTCTTACTGTCTGTGGTGCGTTATTTTCATGTTGCACACAAACATGAATATATCCGCGATACCATTTTGATGTTAATTTACAAGTTTGGAGCAATGTCAGTGTGATTTCCACATAAAAGCGATGGGAAGTGAGTGAGTACAGATGGCACAAGCTGGGGTGTGCACGAGAGGGGAGAGACCGTGCTTGAACATTCCAAAAGACGAACCAAGCTGTGGGTTCTGGCCTAAATTAGTTTGGTGGATGTTACGGGCCTGGTTGGTCATAACAACTTGATAATAGCGGGGTTCATTGAGTTTAATATTATATATGACGTTCTCGCCTTTGTTAACGCCTTTTTTTTCACGTTGCATAACATTATTATTGCCTAGCCGACAAGACACATTATGGCAAACGTTTACTGTGCGATAACTACATGTACATGTGTAGTTCATTCAAATAAACCACAATTATTTATGACGATGCGCTGTATCGTGCAAGCATGGAACTAAATAAAGAACACCAGTAAGAAAACTGCTTAAAAAATATTGCGTGGGCCCCGTGAGCATGGAATTCAATAAGTCCTTTCAAATTGGATAATAGCGTAATGCATGTTAGCTCATGCAAGTAACACCTTCAGTTGAAATGATAACAGCTGTGTACCAAGTAAACAACTGAGCGGACCATGTAAATTACATTTCCCATGATGCACTGGTGCAATCCCTGGGATTGCGGAGCCACACTTTAACACTACACTGCTTTGTTTTGATGTATACAGTAATTCTCAACACTACACTTTGTTTTGATATTACACAGAATGTACAGTAATTCTCAACACTACACTTTGTTTTGATATTACACAGAATGTACAGTAATTCTCAACACTACACTGCTTTGTTTTGATATTATACACGCATAATGTACAGTAATTTACAACAAGTAATTTTGTTTCCGGTCGATCATATACAAGTTTTAGTGATTTTCGTGGTTTTGAAGCGTGGATACTTAAATTAAACGACTTATGCTTGCTCTACATTACCAAACTTTATTAATTATATAATTTCTATTATTTTGCGCAAGGGTAAGGTCCTGTGTCGGGGCATGGTCGTTCCGCCCCATAGACGTCTATATATTGACACGAATATATCGCCAGGCCCCTGTGGTGACAGCAGTGTATAGTTGAGGTCCAACTTACGTTTTTAAGGAATCCCAGCTCTTTTGGCAAACTTGTGATTTTGTTATTCTTCAAATTTAAACCTGACAAACACTGCAGCTTTCCGATTACTCTCGGAACAGTGTCTAACTCCTTGTTTGTCAGGCTTAGATTTTTTGGCTGTCCTTTCAAAGCACGAAGCAACAAGGGATCCGCCATTGTAGTTTACGTTTGGTTGCCTGGCCGAGAACTCTCGCAATTTCTCGCGGTACTTAAAAAACTTTTTGTTTGTTTTATTTGAGGAAAGAAGCGACACCAAACACTCGCTTTACAAATATGGCGGCCTACATGATACAAAAACGTGATGGTGTGCATTTTGGAATATTTCCATGAAAACAACAATTTCACGATTGGTGCATTTTTGTAGGTAGGCGTCTTATAACCAAACTACATTTTAAAGAAAACGAAAACAACTTACGATTTAGCGAAATCCCAATATTTGCTCACTTTGGTGACGAACAATGTTTTTGTTTTGAATGTGAGATATTTATTTATTTATTTATTTATTAACACACAACATCCCTCGGAGGGGATGAAAAGGGTTACAAATCAGATATTAGTAAAAGAAAAATAACCACATAAAGAGTAAGGGAACAAAAAGGCATAAAAAAAAAAAAAAAGATAATAAGTTGAATACAAGGAATGTATTACTGGCTTAGTTTATGTAGGTGCTGCTGTCTTGTATTAAAACAGTTTTTTAAATATTGCGCTAAAGGAATTGACATTTTCTCGTCACTTAGTAATGATATGAATTTATTTTCATTACTAAATTTGTCAAAATTTGGTATACGTTTATTAGCTACAATGTAAAGTTTTGATCTTATTTCATTGTAATGAGGACAATTTGTGACAAAATGTTGTTCATCTTCAACATGGTCATTGTCGCACATATTGCAGACTCTGTCTTTAAAATCCAATCCTGTATGCCGGCCTGTTTCAATTTTCAGACAGTGGTTGCCAAGTCTAAATTTTGTTAAGGATTTGCGAAGTTCACTGTTTTTCATAATTGTTAAGTAGTTTTCTTGTTCTATTTTGGTTTT